TCATACCTTCAAGGTAGCAGTTGCTTCTTGTTCCATGATTTCAAGGTTATGCTCCTCTGCCACTATTTTTTCTTTAATCCTTTGAGCTTCACTTGCACACCAGGATGTGTATTCCTCGATTTGATTCCTCATTACTTCAAACTCTCGTTCCCTCTATAATGTTAGATTCATTTTTCAGTAGATCAGCCTCACAGTATTAATTATAAAGAGAAAAAGGAAATGAAAATAGTTAAAACAGAAAATGTGACACAGAATTTATTATCTGATATGCATGAATATATCTTCAGCCTCTTGATGAATGTGAATGTCACAGCAAATTGAAAACCTGATAAGCTACTACTCCTTTTTCCCTATCACTTTTATATCATTCCCTAGGAATATGAATACATGATTGTCAACCAACGACTCATCATTCAATAGCACAAATAGTAAGGAGCCAATCATAACAAAAGGTGAGCCAATTATATCCCGAGCAGAAGTGAGTTGATGCATGAGGAAGACAACTTATGAACTGATCAACCAGCATCGCTGATAGGGTAAGTCTTTAAATAAATTAAAAAGAAAACCCACAATTTGCATAAACTTGATCTCAAATTTGAAATTTAATGTCATGATTTGTATAAGAATTGAAGGTACTCTCATGCATATTTAGAAAGAAATGAATACATGTTGGCCACGATTAGCAAAAATCTGGAGAAATCTCACCTTTGGGTAGCAAATCCAATAAATGAGAGACATGAAAGGTAGAAATTAACAATATAGAATTGAAGAAAGTAACATCAAGTTTTCTTTTTCTTTTGACAAAAATATCAAGTTTTCTTTTTTTTTTTTTTTTTTGGCAAAAATGAAAGGTAGTTAAAACCAATCTTTCCAAATTAAAAACTTGGAAATCCCTCTGTAGTCAGTATTTTTGATTAGTTTAACAGTTGACATACAGGTGGAAATTTCTGTGAAAATTTGCAGTTAAGGCATGCACAAAATCTTCATTCCTTTCAGTAACATAGAAGAGTTTGAGCATTTCATCACTGAGTTGTCTGTACATGGCATGATGGCACATCTTCATTTTCTATGTCAGCGCTTAGGGTTCTCAATTCCTTTCTCACCTACATTATTGATGTGTATACCATATATTCTACCTTTTCATGCCTTTTGTCTAATACTTCGTATCTATTAAGAGTGCACTGTTCCACTAGGGACTTGAGGAGAATGGGTCATCAAGAGGTTGGGAGGATGGAAATCAGGTTGCAAATGATCCCAAATATAATTCAGATTATATGCTTAGCTTCAATAATCAAAATTGTATGCAATAATCCTATCCCAAGGACATCAGAATAGGATGTGAATCTGATCAAATCCCGGCATAATCTCCAAACAGAAAAATTGAGTTTAAAAAAGCCATTATATACCCTTAAAAGAGAATTGACTAAGAGGAGGTATACCAGATCTTTCTAATTTTTACTAAAAGCATTTCTCAAATTTTCATAAGCAAGATACAGTAACTTAAAACCAGAACACATCAACACAGGGATGCAATGTGGAACCGCAAGAAGTAGCATTATCCTTTGTTCTTTTCAATCTCTCACTTTCATGTATTCATCTCTGAAAATCCGAGCCTTCATAATTGTAGCTTCTTGGGGCAGCCATCTTGTTCTCATCATTTATCAGTTAGATTTAGGACCTTGTTAATTGTTTTCATAATAATAGTCATCTCTTAAATCCGTAAATTTTGTTTTCTCTCATCTGTAAATGAATTATTTAGTATCTCAATGTTGAAGGGTTTTGGTAGCACTCTCATCTGTTTATCGCCTACATATTTTGGCACGATTCTTTTGTTGGTCGTTGTGCTAGGTAACATTCATCCATTCTTCAGAACCAAGAAAATCAAATCAGTCTACATCTCAAAAAACTTGAGGGAGATTGTTTGACACGTAGAGGAAGGTCGTATCGAGAGACTAGTAAAAGAAAGAAAAATAAAAAAGCAGAAGTGTCCAAAACTAGCTTTCTAGGAAATTAGATTATTTAGTGTGTGGGAGTGTCTAAAACTAGCTATTTAGGACATTAGATAATGTCATTATTCTTCATTTCAAAGTAAGACGAACAATTTAAAATCTCTCTTTCGACATAGAATTTTCAATTTCCAGGAGCTCTTTTAAAATAAAGCATGATTACTTACTTCATCAATGTGCAACTGAAGTGCTGCAAGACGATTTCTCTTTGCTTCAATCCTGTTGCTCAATTCTTTAGATTGTTGTTGAAGGGCGATAAACTCCTCCAACTTGGCAGTAGTGCTTTTCTTAATCTCATCAGCACACGCTCTGATTGCAGGCTTAAGTGTATATTTGTAGTTTATGCCCAACACTTCAGCAGGAGTAGACCCATTAGCATTCAACACATACTGAAAATCACCTCCATGCTTAGTGATTGCAGGCTTAAGTCTGCAGTGCAAAAAACTCACATAATTAGAGACAAATAATATCATCCAAATTCAATTCCAATACAAAAACCGATTTCCATAATCAAACAGATCTCTTCTCTTGAAGGAATTAACTTCAGAGAAAGGATCAATAAATAACCAGACACACCGATCCTGGAACCATTGATTTCCTGAACATAAAAGACTAAATTTTCTAATCTGGCTATACCCAACTGATCACCAATTCACCATAAACACAATTAACATAAGATACAGAAGGAAACTATAAATTTCTCTCTTAAATCATAAGAATACCTGGCTTCATGGACTCAAATCATCAAAGTAAACAGTAGCCAGAAATACCAGGAAAAAACTTTGCAAAATCAAAGACCACTCTATTTAAAAAATATTGCAGGTTTTTAAGAGCTAATTGCATTGATGTGACAGCAACCAAATGATTCCACAGATGGAAAAGCATGTAAATCTGATGATTTCAAAAATCTTGATGCATCTAAGTTCTGACATTACTGAAATCAGTTCCTTCACACCAAGTTTGAATACCCAAATCTAAAAGTGCTGATCGTACTCATGCAGTCATGCATCTAAGCTCTTCCCAAACCTGAAAGTAACCAGCAAGTCAACCCAATACCAAAATATATGTAAAAAAAGACGGAAAAACATACCTTCTTAGAGTCTGGTTGCACTCAACGGAAAGGGCCTCAAGTTCTTTGTGCTTCTGCGCAATAGTTGCATGAAGATCCCAAGACTTCTCCTCCCAAGAGCTTCTGCTGGCCTCAGCCTCACTAATCTCCCTCTCCACAGACTGCAACTCCCTTTTCATCCTCTCCGCATCCCTCAAGTTAAACTTTTGAGCATCAACCCTTTTCTGAAGCTCTTCATTTTCCTCCCGTGTTCTCTTGATCTCCTCCTCTTTAGCAGCCAACTCCATTTCCTTCTCCTCCAATGCCTTCTGGGTGATGGAATTTCCATCCCGAACTTGAGCAATAAACTCTTCAAACTTCCTCAAGTCACCTTTAAGATCCTTGCTTTGACTCTCATACATCTCCCTCTCAGAAGGTTTGGATTTCAATCCTTCCAGCTCTGACTCTAACTTCTGTACTTCGTCATCCAACGCCTTCAAATTACTCGCCAACAACTCCTTCTCCCTCTCCATCTTCTCTGAAAACTCTTTATCCAATAACTCAACAGCCTCATCATCACCCTTCATATACGGTAAGTAACTATTCACATAATAAGCCATGAGAGCATCCTTCATAAATGAAAACCTGTTGCAATTATAAAACAAGTTACACTATGATCATCTTTGAAAAATCATACTAAATGCAACTTGTTTTTGAAATGGCAAAAAACTTCAATTTCTTCATAAATGCAAGAAAAGTAATACACCCTACATCCAGAATTAATCATGAACAATGCTAGTTTTATAGACATTATCGTGACTATTAATTCCAAACAGAGCAAATAATAACAAATAACCTTATAATTTCATAAAATAAACATAATTACATCACAATTTCAAAACTCAATTGAACAAATCCTTTCAACAAGTCTAATTGGACTAAATGCAACAAGTTATCTATCCTTTCAACCGCGAAGAAGTTCAATTTCTACAATTATTCACGAAAACAAATCCTTCAGACCCGGATTTTATTATCACTATCGACGTGACTATTAAATCCGGACAGAGAGAGAAATAACATTTCGGACAATAACAGTACTATAAACTAAAATTATAAACCAATTTAGCGAAATAAACCTGCCGGTATTCTCATCGGAAGCAAGATGATCAGTATAATCAGCAAGCTGAACAAGCCAATGAATAACAGCAAGCATCTGAGGAAAAGCATGAGGAGCAGCAGGGGCACGAAGCGCAGATTTATTGATCTTATGAGGGCAATTAAGACATTTCAGAATCAGAAAAAGCTCATCCTCAAGACTCCTCTTAGCAGCGCCGGAATTGCAGGAGAAATCGAGGCGAGAGAGGAGAAAACGCAGCACTTCAGTGACGTCTTTGGCGGAAGGAAGAGGTTTGAAGGAGAGAGAAAGTGAGACGCCATGAGAAGCGAGGTAGGCGTTGATGGATCGCACCATTGATTGTTTGTCGGTGGGGTGTCGGCCGGTGGCGATGATGCCGAAGGAGGAAGATGAAGGGCGGCTGCTGCAGAGACTGGCGTCGGAATCGCGGCCTCCGCCGCCGAATTGAGGGGTTGCTGGTGGCCGGAGAGATTCGCGGTCTGACGGCGGTGGCCGTGTTGCTGCGCCTCTTGGCTTCATTTCCGGTGGAGTGTGTGGAGAGGGGAATTAGGGCTGAGTGGTTGGGGGAAGTGGATGAGATGAGATGAATTTGAAGTTTTGAGTTTATAAAGTTGTAACGGTGTTGAGTGTTGAAATGGGAAATGGTAGAGGAGGGTCGGAGGGAGAGTATGAATTTGAATTATACACTAGTGTTTACTGTTTAGAACCTGGCGGTATGCCCCTAAACTTTTTCGGTTTCTAAGCTATGCCCCTAAACTTTTTCGGTTTCTAAGCTGTGCCCATGGTTTTTTAAACGTCTAAGCTATGCCCTCCAGTTTACTATTTTTAATTAAAAATAACCTATGTCATTAGCAGTAAGTAACAGACGTTAAGGTCTGTTAGTTGTCGTTGCTAGTTAAAATAGAAATAAAAAGAAAACAATTAAATTCCTTAAAACAATTAAACAATTAAAGTCCTTCTAGTTCCCAAACAGTGATAGTATCAAACTCCTCTTATTAAACTCCTCAAGTACTCTGTTTCATGAACACTCAAATGAAAATCAAATCCCTTAAAAAGTAGTGCCCAAAATTTGCGATAGAAATCAAATTGACGAGCTGCGTGGTTGAATTTCGTGGAGGTTGTGGGTTGCAAACGAAAGCTGGGTTGCGATTTGGTTGAGAGAAGGAGTCATAGTGTGGCTGCGTTGCTGAATTTCACCAAAAACGGGAATTTAAGCTTGGAAGAAAGGTAATTTCGAATAAATTTGTGAGATTTATAGCAACTCTGTTGAATTTCGTGGAGTTGTGGGTTGCGATCTTCATCTGGGTTGCAATTTCGTTGCGAGCTGGAGTGGAGTGGCTACGTTGCTGAATTTCACCAAAAAACGGGAATTTCGGCTTGGGAAGACAGGTAATTTCGATATTTGTGAGATTTAGAGCAACTCTTTGTTATGCTACATACATTTAAGCGAAATGTTGGTTGTTAATGTCGTAATTGATTCTAGGGTTTTGTTTTTTTATATATAGTTGGTAAATGTTGATTTAGTTAAATATTGTTTGGTTCAATTGTGTATTTGGATATGTTGGTTAATGATTATACATTGGTTTTGTGCCCAATGTTTTTGATCTGCAGAATGGGTGAAAGGGTGTTGAAAATGCATTTTATGGGTAACTCTGTCGATGTTATGGTTGCTGATATAGATGAATGTTTGATGATAGATGTAGTAAATGATATGGTTGACAAATTTAGTTCTTTTGGGTATGAACTCCCTACTTTTCCTGTGTTAAGTTATTGTTCCAATGGGAAGAGTCATGCACTTACTGATGATAAAACACTAATGACCATGTTTGAGGTAGTTGAATCTAGGAGGATAGATATATGGATTGGTTGTTTGAAGCAACCTAATTTTATTTGGACCTTAGCTGAAAAGGTAAGGTTGAAAGGATCAAATGTAAGTGGTTCAGCATCACTACCTAAACCACCAATAACTAAACTACCAGTTAGGGGTGGTAAGAGGGGTAAGCCGGAAGAAAAAAATTCTGGTAATCTATCTCCAACCCCATCATCTCATGGACCATCTAAAATTCAATCTCCTGAACAAAGTCAAACCATTACTTTGTCAAGCCCAAGAAGAAGCCCCAGGCTTATGGCTTCTAGCCCCTCAACCACACAAGAATCATTAATCAACCCTCCAACTTCAGGTGTCACCCAAACAGGTCCTAGTGTTGGCCATACTGCCCCTACTAAACCAAACAATATTCTTAAGCCTTCTTCATTCCCTCATGGTAAAAAAATCTCAAAATCTACCCTTAAATACAAGGGGTTATGGGTTCCACCTCAACCAAACACTGAAGCCAATGAAGTTCAGAAGGAGCAACCATTTGTTAGGACTAGAAAGAGGACTAGGGTTAGGCTAGATGATGATGTTGGGGTGTCAAATGTGAGTGGGGCTTTATTTGATAGTAGTGGTACAGATAGTGAAGGGGATTACCAACCTGACCAAGGTTTTGATGTAGACACTGAATCTGATGATGATGAAATGGAGTATGAAGAGGGTGATATTAATGAACTCTTGAATCAAAATTATGTAGATGGTGGATGGGAACCATTTAGGACAAATGAATGAGCTGTTGATGATGATTCCTACATGAGTAGGTTGTACAGGAATGGGGAGGTGTTTGAGGAGGCAGAGTTTGGTAAAATAAGGTTGAAACAGTGGCAGCTTTTTGTAGACAAAGATCATTTCAAGGATGCTTTAAGAGATTTTTGTATCCAAGAGGGATTTGCTCTGGTTGTGAACAAGGCAGACAATAGAAGATATACTGCAGAGTGTGCTGATGAGAGATGCAACTGGAGGGTTCATGCAGCTTTGCTACGTGATGGACAAACATGGGCCATCAAAAAGTTGAGAAAAGGCCATACTTGTGACCTAAACTTAGTAAACAACCCCATGTGTAACTGTGAATGGGCTGCTAATAAGCTTCTTGAGGACATAAGAGGTAACACAGACATTAAGGGAAAGGCCTTAAATGCTCTACTCTGGGAAAGATATGGTTTGAAAATGTGCAGATCTACCATTTATAGAATGAAGGGAATAGCAATGAAGATCATACAAGGGGGGCATGATGAATCTTACACTTCTTTGCCTCAGTATTGTGAACTATTGAAGGGGAGCAACCCTGGGTCAATGGCCTTTTGCTGTTGGACTAATGTTCCGGGTCCTGAAAGATCACTACAATTTTCATCAATTTTTATCAGTTTTGCTGCACAGTTCAAGGGGTTGATAAGCGGATGTAGAGGGTTAGTTGGAGTAGACGGATGTCACTTGAAGGGAAACTACGGGGGTATCTTATTGTCTGTTGTTTCCTTAGACGGTAACAACGAGATTTTTCCAGTTGCTGTAGCAGTTGTTGATTATGAAAATAAGACAAGTTGGAGTTGGTTCTTTCACCATCTAAAGAAAATACTCACTGCTACAGGGAGAGGAGACTGGACTATAATGTCTGATCGACAAAAGGTTACAACTCTATGCTATTTAATTTACTTATTTCGTTTTACTTTGTTTTTTTTTTGCTAATATTTGCAATGTTTATTTTACTTTCTTTGTTTTAATTTATGTTGTACAGGGTGTAGACCCATCTTTGGACTCAGTTTAGCCAAAGGTGCCTAGAAGGTTTTGTGCTAGGCACTTATGTAAAAACTTCAAGAAAGACTACCCCGGATTACTCATGCATAAACTATTTTGGAGTGTTACAAATGCGTACTCAGACTACTCATTTAGGAAGGCAATGGTTCAACTTCAAAAACATGGTGGTTTAGGGGCAGTGAAATGGTTTAAAGATGTAGGCCCACTAGAGCGATGGACAAGGTGGAGGTTTGACCCCACTTTGAAAAGTGATGAAAACACAAATAATTTTGTGGAAAGCTTCAATAGTACTATTGGGGTGGACAGAACTTATCCAATTCTAACTCTACTAGAAGGCAAGTGTGTACTTATTTTTGTTGTTGTTGTACATTAGGAAATGCAAGCCAATAATTACCTTTTATTTTCTATGTAATATCTGCAGGTGTTAGGAGAATAGCAATGGTTAGACATGCTACTAGACAACAGCTAGCAGACCAGTGGCAAGACGGAATCTGTCCAAACATTAGGAACAGGGTCAGGGTACTAACTAAGGATAGCAGAGTTTGTCAAGCATACCCTTCTGGTAGGGGTACTTATGAGATTCATGATGGAAGGGCAAGGTTACCAGTGTCTTTAACCGGTGGAACATGTGCATGTGGGAGATGGCAATTGAGCGGAATTCAATGCAAACATGGAATTAAAGCTATCTTACATGAAGGTAAGGATCCAGCAGATTATGTGAGTGAATGGTTCACTGTAGCTAAGTACAGACAAGCCTACACATATCCCCTGTTCCTGACCAAGAGCAATGGGCACACATTGATGGTGTTCCAACCCTCATACCACCAACAATGAAACGAAGTATTGGCAGACCAGCAAGAAATAGGAGGAGAGAGGAAGGGGAGCAGAGAAAAGGAAAAAAGAAGTGCAACCGTCCAGTGTAGTAACTGCAAGAATTATGGGCACAATATGGCAACATGCAAAGGTGGCCCAACTGCCAGAGAAGTAGCCGAGCAACAAGGGAAGATTGTGCCACAAAAGGGAGGCAATAAAGGAAAAAAGCACAGAGACTACCTGAAGATAATGATGTTGACTTCTCCCTGATTGAATTGATGGTCAGTGGAAATTACGCTAGTGAAGGTGCTGATAGAACAGACAACCGTACTCACCACAGTGGTACATCAAAAGGGAAAGGAAAGTCACACCAAGATCAGTCCAGCAACAGTGATGCATTTGATCATAGCTTCATTGATACCATGATTGCATCTTCACAGCCCCAAGTTCAAACATCAAACCAAAGTGCAGAACTCAGGCAACCATCGATGAGTCAGCCTTAGGTAATCAGATCCTTTAAGCAAGCCAACATACCACTCTAAAATGGGTGAAACTTATCCTTTTGTAATTATTGGGGCAAACTGTAATCACTTTTTTTTTGGCATAAACACTATAATGTAATGTTGTTAGTGTTATGTCAAGTATGCAAGTGGCCTAGTTTTTGTGGCAAACTTTAGTTTTTGTGGCAAACAATACTTTTTAAGCCAACTTTTGTGTTATTGCTACTAAGTGATGTAATTTTTTGGGCAAACTCTGAATATATGGTACTTTCGGTTGACATTATGGATTGGTATTTAAATTGCAGAGTGTCACTGTTTTCTATTTCAAATGTTATATTATCAAATTCAATACAAGACTCAATATAAACAGGAATCTGGTAAACTGTTATTAATAACCAAATAAAAAAGAACAGTACATTACGTCATGAGATCATACACAAACCAACTTACTATGATTCTCATACCATACACTACTTAAACACCACTTACATTTTCAATATGATAATTAACAACAAAAACATCACCACCCCAATTTTAAACATGTCCTTAAAAGAAGCAGTAACATTATCAACTTTATGCCTAAAAGCCTCCAATTCACGCTTCACCTCCATCAGCGCACCATTGTCAATGCTTTCATCACCATCAAAACCATTGTAAAAAGCTTGTTGGTATTCTCCTCTCCACAGCATGTTATGAGGGCCTATCCATTCGAAAAATCTACAGAATTCACACCTCCAATATGCCTTTCTAGGGTTCCTTGTTGAAGTGGAAACATGTAACTTGAAATCTAAAGGAGGCTTGCAATTGCACTTGGGACTAATAAAATCCCATTGACAACTACAAATCACAGAAGAAGAACGGGAGCTCGTCATCTTAATGGCTAAAATTTTTTGGGGCTAAATTTTTGGGAGCTAAATTTTTGGGAGATAAAGAAGAAGAAACAGGGGAAATGTGTTATACAAGCCCCCTTTTATGATCCAAGTAAAACCCTAACAATTATGGCGCCAAATCTTCCCTCCAAAGTGATGTACTTAACAGTTCCGCAACTACTAACGGGGTTTTAACGTCACAGGGTATAGTGTATTAAAAAAGGTAAACTGGAGGGCATAGCTTAGACGTTTAAAAAACCATGGGCACAGCTTAGAAACCGAAAAAGTTTAGGGGCATAGCTTAGAAAAACCCAAAAATTTATAAGGGGTCGTTTAGTTTGATCATTTGGAATGGGTTGGAATGGAGTTAGAATTCATTTCAATTAATTTTTTATTTGGTTGAGGTTTTAGTAATGGAATCTCATACCCAAAGTGTTCTAACTCCCCCTCATACCCATGGAATCTCATACCCACCCTTCCCCCTAAGATTCACAATCCATTCTATTAACGAAGGATAAAATCCATTCCAACAATAAAACCAAACAACTTTGAACTAGTATGGGTTTTGGAATTCATACCTCTCTAGTATGAGATTCCATATCAATCCATTCCAAATTGATGAACCAAACACCCCCTAAAGAATTATAAAGACACTAGTTTTGTGCCCATACGATACCCGGGTTGTTTTTTTAATTTTAAAATAAATTTTCTTATCTAATATATATAAGTTATTTAAATTTTCAACTCATGGATCAATAATCACTTGACAATCATACTTGTCCGTTTATGGGTATTTTATGGATTAGTAATCACTTAACAATCTAAAAATATTAGAAGTAATAATGTACAACTAAAAAAGAATGGTTGTCTAAATCTATGATCTCCTTTCATTTTCTTTGAACATCTAGGTAAAGGCTGGTTCCATGTTAAGACTTAAGAGAACTGTTATATATAATAACAGGTCTCTTTGATTTTTTATTTTTTTTCCTTTTGTACCCCTCTGGATCCGCCATTTTGTATAAAAATATTGGTATTTTATTAAAAATAAAATTCTAAAACAAATTTTTATTGAAAATAAAACTCTAAAATAATTTTATTATCATACTAAATGTATTTAAATTTTATTGAAAATATCTAAAATAACTTTTTTGTCCTATTCTATAAAAAATATATTCAAATAAATCCTACGTGTCATATTAATAATTAATTATTGCCTTCGTGACACAACACTTGGCGAAAAGTTGAAACGCCAAGTGTCGTTATCTCGTGGCCTGGCTAAAAGTGCAACTTTATATATTAGTTACTAGTTTTGTATCTGGACGATGTCCAGATTGTTGATAAAATTTCAGTATAAATTTTTTTGCTTGAATGTTAAATACAGTCCTACAACCTTTTTATAATTTAGGATATTTAAACATATAATATCATATCGCTTATTTAATTAAATAATAGCGTACTTTTGAACTTAAATTGTTTTTTTTACTAATTCTCTATTATTTTTTTACAATAAATTAAATATATTATACTGGATCTTATTTTAAAACGAATTTGACGATGGAATATAACAGGGTTATAGGATATTTATTAAAAGTTATGATTAATTTTATATATATGAAATATTAGAATTCTATCGATAATAAAACTCTATACAACAATTTTATCTTTAAAAATCTATCCAAAAATCGCTTACTTAGCATCATATGTGTCACAATAATACCTATTTTTCGTCTACGTGGCGCGACACTTGGCGAAAAACTGGAATGCCAAGTGTCGTTGTCTCGTGGCCTAACTGCGAGACCGGTTTTATTTATTAGTGATATGATATGATATGATATGATATGATTATTCCTCAACCACTCTTTATATAAAAAAAATGTAATTTATTTACAGAAATTAAATAACTTAGTCAAATTTAATTAGTCACATAGCTTATGATAGCATGTAAACACAAATTGGCACAAACCTAGCTATAACGATGATAGTAAAAAATTTAAAGAATTAGACATTGTCAATAATTTAAAAAAAAAAAAAAAAATTAATGTATTGTGGAATTTATAAATGAAGTACCGTTCTAAATTAATTATTCAATGTAAAAACTTCGTAAACTTGAGTTTATTAACAAGATGTATGTAAGGTTTTCATTAGAGGTGATCATAAAGTGTTTGTCTCGATATTACGATCAAGCTTGTGGTAAAATAATTTAGATTTTTATAACCCCAAATCATAATTGTAAGCCAACAAGTACGGTCTAAATTTGTGGGTTTTTACATGTAAATAAGTCCAACTCGACCTATCTTTAATATCACATCAAATGTTCTTATACTTTAAATTTTAAAAATTAAAGTGTAAGTATTAGAGTAGTAGTCATGTAATATAGGAACTCAAAAATGAAAATTATGTTTTTTTCTTTTTTTTTTTTTTTTTTTTTGTAACTACATTACTTATAGTTTTCTGTTAATAGTTGTAGAATTTTTTTTATTGAATTGGGAAGAAAAATACATTTTTTGTTTTAATCATATGTAAAATTTACATATATTTTCCAAAAGAATTGCAATGTTAATAAAGGTAAGGATAATTGCAACTATATATATTTAATAAGTATTGATAGTTTTGCATGGGTTCATATAAAAAATTTAGCGTATAGTACATATATTCAAACGGTAAGGATAAATTGCAATTGTATATAGTAACGTAGAATGTTAGGATAAATTGCAATTGTATGAAGTAACTTATAATATTAGAAAGGAAAGCTACATACATTTTTTAAAAATCTTATACTCTGTAAAGGTTAACCTGTGATGGGTGTTGTTTAACATCTGCAAATAGTACATATATTTTTGGGAAGGATATTATTGTTAAAATTGTTACGAAAATGGTTAAGTAAAAATAATTTAAAATTCCAATCAAAGACAATAATTCAAAAATAAGAAGAATATCGTCAAAGTTTTTGCTATAGATTTTTTTTAATTAATGAAAGAGTATATTAGTTACAATTATTCAAAGAACTATAAATAAGATTAATTAAAATGATTTCAATTGCACTTAAAGTTATTTAGGAAAATGACTAGAAAAAAATTACCAATAATATAGTTGTTGACCAATTTTGAAAATAATGTTGAACTTGAAATAAGTTTGATAAATTTAAACCT